ACAGAAGTTATTTCTGCTGCCATTCTAGTTAAATTGTGTTTGACTGAGCTGTACATGTCATAACATAAGAGAAGCTGTTTCATTTCATCGTAGGCAAATAATACATTTATTACTATTCTACATAGTGTAGATACCGAAGAGCAGGTATTAGAAGTCATTTTCTTAGAGCCCCGTGAATAATGTGTTGTTCTTTTTAACGAAAAGTGGTGCATTTTCAGAATTCACTATGCATCATATCCCTGACATTAAGTTTATTGTTATTTCTAAAAAAGAGTACCACATGTTCATTCAAAGAACGTTATTATAAGTGTACTAAAACATAAATATCGCTTTTGATTAATCGGTGCTTATGATTTTCAATAAACAGTATCAATTTTTACCGAACAGCTTTGTTGCTGATACCTAATCTAAGCAACGAAAAAAGAGACGAGACTCCACTTCTCTGGTGTATTGAAATCATACGTATCTGCTGTGGTGTCAATCATGTGGGGGAGATACTGAAAACGGAGACTTATTCAAGAATAATATTGATGTTGCACATGATGATTTAAAACAGTTTCTTTAAAGTTGTGAGTACTTTCTAGAGATTGAAAAGATCCGAATAAAAAATGTGACAAAAATCGTTTAGTTGCATTTTTTTTTTATTTAAGGACAATACAAACTATAAACAAATCAGTACCAATACCACTAAGTCACTGATGTCTTATTCATACTAGTATAAAGAATATTTGGAAATGATGTTAATTTATGGAGAATGTAAACGCTCTGCTGTGCGCGAATTTACAGGTCTTTTCCCCAACCATCGGCTCCTTGACCAGCATGTGTTTCGTCGTTTGTTGCATCCAGCAAAAGAAGATGGATCTTTTTAGCCTATTCGGAAAGGCCTTCCTGGGGCTACACGGATTATACGCGTAGACGGTGAAGAACAAGTGGCACAAATGAATGGATGCTCAAGATCGATCATGCATCGTATCCTTACAGACAAAAATCTGCATCCTTACTATTGACGAAAGTGCAGCATCTGCGACGAGCCGACTGCGCGACGAGGGCATGTTGCTCAATGGTTACTGCGACAAAATGAACTAAATCCTGATTTTTCACGGCACATTCTTTTCGCCGACGAATGTTCATTTTCCCGAAAAGGAATATTTAATGCGCACCATTGGCACTTCTGGGCAAACGAAAATCCACATTTCGCTAACGTGAGAGCATATCCAGAGCAATACTATTAATCTATGGGCTGGAATCGGGTAGTCGGTTGGTCCCAGATGCTGCACTCTCGTGTAATGGTAAGGATGCAGTTTTCTCTCTTGAAGGATACGATGAGTGGTCGATCTTGAGCATCCACTCATTTGCGCTACGCAGCGGACACTTCTCCTAGGATCCGCTTCCATCAATATTATTCTTGAATAAGTCTCCGTTTTCAGTATCTCCCCCACATGATTGACACCACAGCAGATACCTATGATTTCAATACACCAGAGTCTCGTCTCTTTTTTCGTTGCTTAGATTAGGTATCAGCAACAAAGCTGTTCTGTAAAAATTGATACTGTTTATTGAAAATCATAAGCACCGATTAATCAAAAGCGATATTTATGTTTTAGTACACTTAATAACGTTCTTTGAATGAACATGTGGTACTCTTTTTTAGAAATAACAATAAACTTAATATCAGGGATATGATGCATAGTGAATTCTGAAAATGCACTACTTTTCGTTAAAAAGAACAACACATTATTCACGGGGCTCTAAGAAAATGACTTCTAATACCTGCTCTTCGGTATCTACACTATGTAGAATAGTAATAAATGTATTATTTGCCTACGATGAAATGAAACAGCTTCTTTTATGACATGTACAGCCCAGTTAAACACAATTTAACTAGAATGGCAGCAGAAATAACTTCTGTCCCATGCTACTTGCCTTAAAGTAAACCTTGACGTCTCTGTGTACATTAATCAGTCATCTTTGGGGGCAGAAGCGTCTGTTCAGGTCAGTGATGAACTTCGTGACAGTTTATGACAAACAATTGTCAAAATGATTGAATTTATAACCACACTTCTGTTTCCTTCTGTTGACGGAGGGGGATTCGGAAAAAATTCATTCAACTTTAGTATTACCCGATTTTTTGTTCTTGGCATAGGTAACTTTGAACATAGAAACGTTCAGATATAAAAGCAGCCTCTCTATTGGTCAACTTAATCGCCTTCCAGTTCTCACACGGTTAAAGCCTGGACAATTCTTTTTGCGAATTACGGCACAGTTCGGGACAGGGAACATGTCATTCACGGGAGTGGCGCGAATTCTGGGACACCCTGTATACACGAACGAGAACAATCTTCTCTTGGAGACAAGCAGTAACCATCTAACTGCTCTATTTTGTTCTTTTTTTTCATAACGAATTTAATAAGCCTGTAAAATGATATAGTATTGCACAACATTCATTGAAAATTGAAAAAAATACAAAAACATGTCAAGCGTTTTATTTTACTCTCTATCTTTTGACGTATGTCAAAAAAATGTTACGTCAAATTTGTAAAAGTTATGACGTCACCAATGATTTTTTAGATAGGAAGGTATAATTTTGATTGAATTATTTGATAAAGCTTATTTTTCTGCATATGAAAATGTCGCTTGATGTAGGGATTGCATAATAAAAAAATTGAGAAAATTAATAACAAACAAAATAAACTTGATTTTAATGATCAATCTTAAATGAACTGAACAATCCGTTTGAGTAAAAATTTATGCTATAGAAATTGTTCAAACTATCTGACACAAAGCTAGACGATGGGGCGACCTAAGTGAGGGAATTTTCAATACTCTGGCGACTTATACGAGTTATTTCATGACGAATTCGTGGTTTCAAATCGTCTAAATTATCAGATCTACTCATGTAAACACGACTTTTAAATGTCCCCATAAAAAAAAAATCAAAGGGTGTCAGATCCGGAGACCTAGGTGGCCATTGTATTCGTTACCTTTCATCAAATTGATTACACTAGGTAACAAAATTTGAAGAAATTGTTGTTTGAGTACAGTTTTTGCTGTTTTTGAGTTGTACTGATATAGTATAATATAAGTACGCGTACAAGACATATCAACTGTCAGGTTATAAGAAAATACCATTAATAGACCATATGTAGGTGAAAAAAGCACAAAATCAGACACATGTGAAAAACAAGATTATATTTTTCAAAGAACTATTGGTTAAAAGTTTAACAAGGATTACAGATATTCACAAAAAATGCTTAACGAAAATAATTTCTTATAATTTTTCAATTTTAGAAGCGATTACTTGACCTACATTATCGTTTTTTATTTTGTTATTAATTATTACTCCTTAATAATGTTGGCAAAACCAGTCTTATTATTTTGGCAAATATTGGCTCCGCCTACCTGCTCTTTATTTTTTTAGAGAGTACCTCATTTACTAAAGTCAGTCTTATTTTGTCAAGTACTAGTCCTACCCCCCCCTTATTTTCTTAGAGATATGTTATTTGGCAATATTAACTCTAATAATAACGTTAATGTTGACCGTATAAAAAAATTAACTGTCATGTCACATTTTATTCCATAGCCTACTACTAAACATGCAAAAAAATTAACTCAAGCAAATTGGTTGTTACCCGGTGTTATCCAGGAAACGTAGCAATTAGATCCGGAAGCACTGCGGTTCTAGATATCTAGATCTAAATATCGATCTGCTATTAAATTTCCGTGAAAAAAGTAGGGGCCAATGAATCTTCTGTTTATTATTCCCACCCAAACATTAATTTTTTGGGGACGTTGGGTGTGTGCCATTTGAATCCAATGACGTTTTCGAGCCCAGTAACGACAATTGTGTCGATTTAGGGTACCATTTAAATAAAGTTGCTTCATCCGAAAATACGACACTATTTAAAAAATTGGGATTGTCGTCATAATATCTCGTGACGCTTTCACAAAATTCCTAGTCATCTGCCATGATATTCTTCTGATAGTTCATGGATAAATTGAAGTTTATATAGCATGCAGTTTCTCTTTTTTAAAAAAGTTTACCACAAACGATTGGCTAACATTTCTTCTTCGAGTCATTATTATGCGACTTTGATAGAAGTGTGTATAGACAAAAAAACATATTTGTTTACAAGTCACAAACTAATTGATTACATACAACCAAACAGTATTTTTTATTGTATTAAACCAACTTAAGAAACTGACAAAAGCGATCATCTTTGACAGATTTTTGTTTTAATTTTTAGTTATTTGGATTTCATTTTGTTTCATGTTCACATCAAGCTACTTTTTCATATGTAGAAAAATTAGCTTTATCATACAATCCGATCAAAATTATAGCCTCTCATTTAAAAAAAAACATTGATGACGTCATAACTTTTACAAATTTGAAGTAATTTTTTTTTGACATATGTCGAAAGATGGAGAGTAAAATGGAAGGCTTGACATGTTTTCGCATGTTTTTTTTCAAAAACAAATGCTGCGCTTTTTATGAATTTTGTGCAATACTTTATCATAACCCTGTATAAGTGGTCCACTAAAAATTGGTTTGGTGTATAACCTTTTAAAGGAACGAATTGTATATTTGACAATAATCGTAAATTCTCGCCCTAAATGAGTTATCTGAACTGTTAGGATATCCTATATTAATTATTTGAAACTTACAAATATTGAGTAAGTCAAAGAAAAACAATATTCTGAAAAGCACCTAAACCAAAAGGAAACAAATACAACATACTTCTAATAAGACTCATTCTATAAAAGTAGACAATTCTATGTACATATACATTGCGAATAAAAATATTTTGTTTGATATCTGATTTTTAATTACAATCTGATTTAAAGAGACTTGTACTTGTAAATAGATATTGTGGAACACAGTACTTTCATCAGGCCATATTTTGTGTAAGTGGATATAAAGAACAAAGCAAACAAGTGGAAAGAAAGACTAGTTAACTAAAAGTGGATAACAATGTTGTAAAGAGTTTGAGCAAAAAAATTACTTGTGCATGATCCTCTCAAGGTCGTACAAGAACTTCAAAGTCTCAATAACCATCGGCCGACTCTCCTCGCACGACGTCACATACGGGTGGTCCTTGACTTTTTCCATGAAAAACTGCGTTTCCAACAAGCCCAGCCTGATGCACTTCATCAAAGCAACAATGTGCCCCTTCCTCTGCTCCGGATCATGGTTGATCCACTTTAAAATAGTCTCCCAAACAATTTCTTCACTCTTCACATTAAGATTATCCGCATTGATGATTTCCTGAAAGTCTTTGAGCGAAAGCATAAGGATCTCCTCGCTTAGCTGTGATATCTGGATGAAGTTCTTCATGATATAACGCCAACAGATCAGCGCGAGATCGGTGCAGAAATGATTACGGGCGAAAAGGAGGATCCCGATGCAGTTCTTCGGGCTGAGGATGCTCTCCAGGTACTTGCAGCACATCTCCAAGGCGCCCAGCATGCTCAGGTAGTCGGCCGTAATCAGCACGTCAAAGACGTTATTCTTGTTCAGGTCGAGCTTCCTCAGGTACGCGTAGTTGAGGAGGATGTGCATCATCTCAGAGCTGACACCGGGGATCTGCACTTTGGTCTCATTTTTGTTGTGCAGCAACGTGGTGAAGGCAGCTCTAAAATCAGGCGGGTTAGTACGAGGTGGTTTGGGGGGCGGCGCCACGTGCTTGAAGTAGGAGCTGCACGCGCATAATAACGCCCGATGGATGGGAATTTCCGTTCCGTCGTCCAGGACTATTATGGCATCGCATAGCTGGTTGTTCTCCCTAAGGTCGTACAATGTCTGCATGGCCTGCATGCTCATACATCGTCCTTTACCAGTTTCTGCATCCTGCATTTCATCGTACTTCTGCGTTTTGGTAGAAATCTTTCAAGGAAGGTAAAGAACACAAATAATTTTGATAAATGTGAGTTTTTGAAATTTGTTGAAAGTCAAAAATGACAATGGTCCCAAGATATCTATTGTATTTTAATTCAGGCAAATTGTGATTGGTCGATCAGAAATTACACGCTGAAGAAGTGTTTGTCTGTCTAAGGTTGCACATAAAGTTGTTAAATTAAGTACTGCCACAAGGTCATTATTTTTACTAAGAAATAAGTTTATTAACTATTCAAGTACTTTAGTACTTTGTCTCGTGTTTTATAGAAATTAATACTACGGGCAACGTCAACCAAATTTTAGTAATAATAATGATAGTAACATTAATAATTTATTGTCCAACAGAACGAATGCAACATTAAAATAAAAAATAGAAAAATTGTAGAGTTGAAATTTATACAGGCTGAGTCATTAAGTGCTCCGTCCTCAACATCAGATCAATTAGTAGAAATAAGAAAAAATTAAAGGCTCAAGTTGTGTGGTTGTTTAAATAACACACGTTAAGATTATTTTTATCCAAAAAGAGTCCTCTGTGTTTGATAATTTTACTACATAATCGAAGTAAAACTGAGCATTAATTTCAATTTCAAAGAAAATCTAATTAACAAGTACAAAACAAGGAAAATTTATCAGGTCAGATCAGGTCAGCTCAAATCAGGTCAGGTTAAGTTAGATCAGGTCGGGTCAGGTCAGGTCAGAATAAGTCAGGTCACGTCAAATCAGGTCATTAATTAGCAGATTTTTTTATTCATTTTTCGAAATGAAAAATTTTGCTAAATCCCTCATTTTTAATTACGACAATGTCCACTTCAGATTCCAAATTTTGACAATCAAATTTTTGAATAGTTATAGAACACCGTGTACCTAAAAATATGGGTCATAACATTCTTGTGACTTACCTGTACATGATACCAGTTGCAATCTTTACTGATTAGCCATCGTGTAAAATAAATGAAAACAAAATATTAATATTATATATAAATAGCATTGTTTCAATTTTTCAGTGAAATTAATGAATTCACTATATGTATACATAATTTGGAAATTATTACAATAAAGATGACCTAAAGTTTGATAAAAGACATTTAGGGCCATAATTAATTTTTTACTTCCCGAGCGTAAGATAGTAGGTGAATTGTTAATTTCATATTTTCTCGACGTTTCAAGATCTCTACAGTATGAAAAATTTGAGCTCACGTTTCCGACTGTCTGTTGCCTGTCCGTCCGTCGTCTATCTATCTGTCTGTCGTCTGTGCCGATATTCATTAGACAGATAAGATAATCACGGAAACTACTGAACCGATATTTTCAAATTTTGGATGTACCTATATATGTATTTTAGGAACATCGTGGAGATGATGAAACGCAAACCAAACATCTCAAAATGTTACAGAGTAAATGTTTTTTAATTTTCAGGAAATAACCTTTTTACTTGTAGTTTATGAATTCGCCTTCATTTTTTCTCCCAGAGGATCCAGATTTTTTTTAATTTCGTGTTAACAGTGTGTACCAAAATCACCAATACATTTTGAACAGCGTACTTTATAAACTAAATAAGTCTCCTACTGTGTTAACTTTTAATATTGTACTTTATAAACGAGAAATGCCACACTACAATCGACGGACGCCGTACTTTATAAATACGTTCTCAACGCCATTCTTTTTAAAAAATGTTGAGTGCCGCATTTTATGAACTACGAAGTCAAACTTTATAAATTTTATAAACTTCACTGTATAAGCGACTAACGCCGTAAGTTTAATTTTTATTATAGGAAGTTTGTAAATTCTAAGGGTTGTACTTTTAATTTAGGTTTGTTTATTCACGACGATCAAGAAAATTAATGAATGTAGTAATTTATTTTATTAATCAAATCAAGAAGAGATCACTCCATTTTCCTAAAATTGTAAGAACACAGTAGCTGCATGATATTCGACCTGACGGACTTATATGTACTTTTTTGAGCCAACATTTATTGGTATTAAAAAGTTATCTTTTTACTAAAATAGTGAATTTTGCTTTGTTATATAATGAAACGTTGATCACAAAATAATTTTAACTTCCACATTTCTCAAATATACCGAATGACTATTAATGTTGGTGATTTTATTTATCAGGTTGACCACATATTTAAAATTTCTTGATAGTACCCCTGATGTCAAATTCAAATGTTCGGCGCCAATTCCGTAACTGCCATCTTCTCATTGGTTTTTAGACGCGCTCATGTCAAAATTGACAATATGCTAACACTGCTGCCGATAATTCAGAATTGCCAACCCAAAAATTTGCTTCAATCATTGATAGTCACACGGTATTCTAACTGAGCGTTGTACAAAAAGCCAACTTTAACGTGTTGAGATTTTATAATAAAAATATTGTTTGCCACTTTTTTCCGTAGGTCTCAATTCTTCTCAATTAAACCTCTATATTTCGACTAAAAGTAAGCTGCACAGGTTACAATCACAATATAAAATTTTAGTAGATACAAAAATAGTGTTCTTGTATACATAGTTGGGAATAATTCTCAAATTCCGCACCTAATTTTGTTGTTATAATGAATCAATGTAAATAATAACTTTAAAAATCTTATGCTTAGATTTAATAAACGACAGTAATACCTAATTCCGGAATATCTGTATAAACCTTAAATAAGGAGGAAATCGCTGTTGAAGCTGAAAAATATCGTTAGTGGACGCATTTTTAGTTAAAAACTAAAATTAAAAAATCAAATTCTCTAATTCATGAAACCATAATTTACATATGCAATGAATATCTGAACGATTCATATGTATATTAACAGAATAATAACTTGTTTGTGTTGTCTGCAAACATTATGAAATTACTTATTTAATTTTAATATTTAGCCCATTTGTTTACTATCAATCTTTATATTTTCCTAAACATAAGTCTGATATTTACGTAAATTTCGAATTGGCATTCTTTGTTTGTCGCTGATTGACGGGAATCTTTACCAAGGACGTCGATTAAGCCTTGTTATCCTATATGACACTAATATGGTATAAAATTTTATTAATATACAAAGATAAGATTCGAAGAATTGTTTTTTTTTATTGTGCTACTATTCTAGGCATTAATGACCGCCTGCTGCGTTAACCTAATGGGAAAAATTATTTCCCTGTTTGCTGATTCTTTGTTTGTCTTTAAACATTATGGAAAATGTTTTATTTTGGGATTACCTAATCACAAACTGTCGAAGTGATGCAGATAAAGAGGCAAATCAATGTCACAGTAAACTTATTGATAACATTATACATTTTGAACTACATCATGGTATTCATTCAGTGCAAGATGCGTACTCGCGACTCTATCGCAAGACTTCTGCGTATGATGAAATGATTTTTTTGAAAATTGACCTGAATAGTAAAGGTGTTATCAAAAGTTCGGAGTAAGAAATCAATGTCACAATAAATTATCAATAATTACCAAACCGAGAAACCAGTAAATAACATTACAAAGAAAATATTTTTATACAATTATCAAAGAATATCGTGAGCTCGCTTTTTTTTTGTTAAAGGTGGAGGCCAAGCTTCGTGTTTTTTCTGTTGCTGTGCCTGATGTGGTGACGTTAGAAACGCAAAAATTTTACTAGCGATAAAAGAAGATATAAAATTAATAATATAAACGTAATAAGAAGCACAAACGTGTCTTTTTAACACACACCCACATTTTTTTTACTATATTGTGTATATACAGTACATAATCGAAAAAAGTTCTCTAATGGATCATTAAAAATTAATTATTAAATATTATTTTGGCATTATAGCTATTATGAACGTGGAACACGTTGGTGATGCCAACATTTAATTTTACCTTGCTAGAAAACTTTTTCCATCATGTGATGTATACAGGGTGTTTACTAAACTTGCGACAAAAATTCAAATTCCACGGTTTATTTTAAGATTTTTTTTATCCTCCAATTATTTTCTAAAAAAAGTTTTGATTCGAACATACATGGCAATAAAAGTAAAGTAAAACCACTCTATCCTCAGACTTAAATCCCTTGACTTTTCATATTTGGGGTCATTTAAAACATTAGTTTGCACTATTCTATTAAAATAACCCAAGTAATAACCCCCTGAATTTTTGTCACATGCTTAGTAAATACCCTGCATAATGCTTTTACCTTTAGTAGGTTTTATAAAATAAATGTATGAATGTTCATTGTTAACAACCAAGTTATTTTTTATTATTAAAAACATCTTAAACATTTCGAAGGAAATTTCAAAGTGCAACTCAAGGAATAATGTCAAAGTCAGACAAAAATAAAGCAAATGGACAAAAATAAAAAAAGATTTAGGGCCGGTTTATACAGAGCGAATTAAATACTTAATCCTCGATTAATTTAACAGAAGATTAAATATAGAATACTAGCTGACCCCGTGAACTTCGTTTCACCTACAACTTAATTTTGAAATCTTGCAGATGTTTTAAACATCTGATAAGCATAATAAATTTGTATTGAAAATAATACTTACTTCCTCCAAAAAATTGATGACGTCAGCCCAAAATTTTGCCAAATGAATCCTTTTTAAAATATCCAAAATAGGATGAGACTATACTTGTGATTTATCATTCCATTCATATTTTTTAGTTTTGCTTATAGGGGGTGTCTCAAAAAAAATTAATCACTGAGTCAGTTTATTTTATTGATTGAATCAAGAATTCCAAAACTAAATTTTTAGATTTATTGCAGACGTTTTGAAGTTACTGTTTGACATGGTACGTTTTTAATCAAAATATATATGTTTATCAAGCCCAAAAACTTGATGACGTCATCTCAAGATTTTGCCGAATAAATCCTATCTAAAATGTGCAAAATATCATCAGTATATTTTCGTAAATTTATCATTGCATTCATATTTTTTAGATTTGCTTTTACAGTGACAAAAAAATGTATGGATCAGTCAATTTATTTTAGAAATAACTCAAGAATTGCAGAAATGACATAATTAATATAATTCAAAATGTTTAAATATGACAACTATTAATATGTGATAATTAAACCGAAAACCATTTTCCTAAGAACACGAGGTTAGCAAAAACAAATTAGTTTGTTTAAACATTGTTAAATTAACCCCGAACATGTACAATTTCTGAGCGAAAATATGAAAAATAATTTTTGCAATCTCATCGTGACGTACGATGACGCCACTGTCACGTGAGCCACCTGATAAAAGGTCACATTTTTCGGTCCTCTGCGTTTAGTTTTGATTTCGGTTTGGTGGCAGCAACATCAGAGTCCGTTTTGGCTTAAAAGTAGGGCTCTTTTCACGAATTCCTAATTTATATATTTAAATATTAGTGAAAATGTGTTGTATTAGTACTGTGAACACGAACGAAAATGGATATTTTTTCGAAAAGGACCGAAAACAGGGTAAGTTCGAGTTCAGTTTTAATTTATCGGATTCCGTGATTCGTTCACTCAACAATATTTAAATTTTGGGAAAATTTTCGAAACGATTGAAATCGGTTGATCAAAGCTATACATGTTCACGACATAAATAAATCAATTTTAAACATAATTAATATCATTTATAATGTTTAAATATGATAAGCATCAATGTATGTTAATTAAACCGAAACCCGTTGTCCTACAAGCCTGAAATTATTAAAAACAAATCAATTTGTTTAAACAATGTTAAATTATCCCCGAAAATGTGCATTTTCCCGGCCAAATTATGAAAAATAAATTTTGCAATCTCATCGTGACGTACGATGACGTCAATGTCACCTGAGTTACTTGTATAAAAGTCACGTGTTTCGGTCCTTTGTGTTCAGTTTTAATTTCTGTTTGATGGCGGCAAGATCGTCGCTTCATTTCGGCGTAAAAGTGGAGCGTTTTAGCGAATTTCTAGTTTATTATTAATACATATTGCGGAAAATATGTTGTGTTAGTGCTGTGAACACGAACGAAAATGGATATTTTTCCGAAAAGGACCGAAAACAGGGTAAGTACGACTTCAGTTTTAATTTATCGGATTCCGTGATTCGTTTAGTCGACAATGTTTACATTTTGGATAAATTTTCGAAACGATTGAAGTTGGTGGGTTAAAGCTATACATTTTCGCGATATAATTAAATAAAATTTAAACATAATTAATACAATTCATAATCTTCAAATATGATAACTATCAATATATGATAATTAAACCGAAATCCGTTTTCCTAAGAACACGAGGTTAGTAAAAACAAATTAGTTTGTTTAAACGTTGTTACATTAACCCCGAAAATGTACAATTTCTGATCTAAAATATGAAAAATAATTTTTGCAATCTCATCGTGACGTACGATGATGTCACTGTCACGTGAGCTACCAGATAAAAGGTCACATTTTCGATCCTTTCTGTTCAGTTTTGATTCCGGTCTGGTAGCAGCAACATTGGAGCTTCGTTTTGGGTTAAAAGTAGCACATGTTCGCGAATTTCTAATTTATTGTTAATAAATATTAGCGGAAATGTTTTTTGTTAAGTGCTGTGAAGGAAAGTGGATATTTTTCCAAAAATGCCCGATTTTTTTTTAAATATGTTGTTAATAACATGCATTCAGGACTGATAAAGTACGCCTTTAGAATATACAAAGTACTGCGTTCATAATTCACAAAATACCGTATTCATCATTTTTAAAGTACGGCGTCCAAATTTACAAAATACGGTGTCCTTCACCCATGCTATCAAACCTTAGTCCTCTCTTTTAATGGCAAGACGCACTCCAGACCTCCTCGTATTGTTTGGTTCTTGCTGGGCAACAGCAACGAGCGAACAAAGTCATCGCTCTTTGGTGGCAAACGTGGAGAAATTTGTATATTGTAACTTTTGTAATTTAAGCATTTTGTACTGTATATTGTATGTGTTACTAACTTAACTTGGGTCTTGCCAATTTAGCTCCAGTGGTGCAAATGCTTTGTTTTCATGGTGCATTTGCTTGGGTTTTAATTTTGCAACAGTGCATTCTTTGGTTCCGGGACTGAATTCTCCATGTCGTCAGACGCTCTGGCCTGGGGGGGTTCTGTTGGCCCTTAGACGCTGGGTCATCATCCTAAACGGATGAGGTTCATCATCCTAAAAGGATGAGGTCAGTCGGCCCTGTATCTATGCGGCTGCATTCTCCCTTGGTCGTGTGAGCGCTGCGACCTATAGATTTCGTTCCGAGTTCCATCGGTGTGCTTGCTTGGGTTTTCATTTTGCAACAGTGCATTCTTTGGTTCAGAGTCTGAATTCTCCATGTCGTCAGACGCTTTGGCCTGGGGGGGTATTGTTAGCCCTTAGACGCTGGGTCGCATCTCCTATAAGGATGAGGTCAGTCGGCCTTGGATTTATGCGGCTGCGTTCTCCCTTGGGCGTGTGAGCGCTGCGACCAATAGATTTCGTTCCGAGTTCCATGGGTGTGCTTGCTTGGGTTTTCATTTTGCAACATTTTCAATTTTTGGTGCAATTTCTTCCGGTGGTGTACTGGCTACTAACTTTGCATTTGTATTGTATCTGAATTGTATCTGTATCTGTAGTGTATTCTGTATTGTAGTTAGATTGTAGGTACCTGTATTGTATTTCCATTGTATTGTACTGTATAACGTTCTATCCCTCATTAACAAATCCTAGCCCTCTCCTTTCCTAGCGAGATCTGCTCCAGACCTTCCCGTGGTTCTTGCTGAGCATCAACTATCGAGGTCAGAAAATTCAAATTCAAAACCAGCAAAGTTTCACAAAAATCTTGAAAATCGCTCGTTGGTGGCCAACGTGGAGCAAAAGAGACTTTTGTAACTCAACTAACTTTGTTAACTTTGTATTCTTAAGGAGACAAAAATATATTACATTTGATTTATTATTTATGAGGACAAATAGTCATTTGCCACACCGATGCTCATTTTTAGATTAAATGCTCACAAAACACGTAGATGTTCAATTTGTGTCCAGGGAGATACAATGTTTGCAAGTAGGTACTTCGTACTTCGAATATGAGTATCTACTCAGTTTTATTCATACCACCCAATGTCTCGCTTCAATGGTTGACTATTATGTTGATTATGAGCACAACGCTGATCAACTTCCGTATCCGAATTACCCATGAAATAAATCATTGCGATTTGCACCTGAGGTAGTTCGTCGCACATTTGATTGACTTCGTGGAACACGTAAAAAAAAGAATCGTCCAATTCGGTGCAGCCGTTCTAAAGTTATGAGCGTACATACATTTCGGCGATTCATTTTTATTAATATAGATGAGCCCGTGATTGGTTAAAACATGCACGTTGCCTAGCAACGGATCTCAATTAAAATCGCTAATTAACTTAAATTTGCTTTCTATAAATGGAGCCCTAATCTTTTTTTAAGTATGACTAGTTTTCAAATTGCTACATTTACTTCATAATTATAGTTTCCACACATATAGATTAAAATTAACTGTTTATTTGCAGTTAATATTTGTTAGAATTTTCTCATAAAAATACAACCGACAGCACTGCAAATGTGAGACTTTATAAGATTAAAAATGCAATAAACTTCATTCATCATTAAAATTTTCCCATGGAATTTGTACACTGCATATGGAACACTTATTTTTGTTCCTTTTTTAAGAGGCAATTAAAAATTTGGCAGTTATTTGGTGTTTGTTATCAATTAGTTCGGTGTTACCAACTTGTTGCACTTTATTTTGTATACAACAATTAAACATCTCCGCCTTCTCATTTTCGTTATTACTTTAGTTAATAAGCTGAATTATTTATTAGTTAAAAATACTAATGTAATTCTGTCCATTATTACTGGACACTGTTTCAACTAAAAATGAAAATTAACTTTCCCATATTTATTTCACTGTAAAAAAATCTACACTAACATGTTCTGCTAGTCTCGAAGACGCCTCTACAATTCCCCGGCGCCAGTTCGACGTTCACTTCCTCAAATCGGCCCCAGTCAACTAAACACACAACTAACGCTTCATTTTTGCATATTCATGTGACGTAACACCAGTTCGTATAATTTATCACTAAATAAGCAAAACACATCTTCTAAAACCATCGTATTTTATCAAACCGGAGCAGCCTCTGACACTTTAAGTGTATACACAGCATCCGTACACCGCCCCCACAATTCCCCATCTCTAACCTTCCCTGTCACATCATTATCGCCCAACAAACGTATAGTCCATGTAACAACAGCGAAAGTAGCGGCATTTACTGGAAAAGCTCGTAAAATCGTGGGCGAAAGACCCCTGTACAGAAATCCATAACCCTCGCTTGCTATACTCTTTTTCAAGCAGTGTAACGAATTCTCGTATTTGGTTTCCGTCAAGCCATCGATCTGGATTCTAGACTTTATCACGTCCACTGGGTAGACGAGGACCCATGAAACTGTACCAGCGAGGCCACCAGCAACCAACATGGTCCCCGTGGAGATGGGTGCGTTGTCACTGCTTCTGGTCAATAGTTCATACGTAACGAAGTAGGAACTGAAAGCTGGGATTTCGCGAAGAATGGTAATGCTGAGGCCTTTGAAGATTCCACGAATACCTTCATGAGTGTATATTTTCCTCAAGCAGTCGATGGGGCCTTTGGTACCATTGGATACTTGTAGTCGTGACTTTGCCAACTCCATAGGACTGGTGAAGAAACTTTGGGCGAGCCCAGCAGCGGCACCAGCAAGGAAATGGGAAGTTAAAGAGTCTGGGTTGGTAAAGTGGCGCTGAGTGTTGCCATACACCCCAAAAACTATGGCGTTAATGGCTGCGACTCCCATCAAAGGGCTAGACATCCCCTTGTACAACCCTCTAATTCCTTCTTTCACGAAAAGGCTTTTTATACAATCCGTTGTTCCTCGAAATTTGGGATTGCTTGCATCTTGTGTTTGCAATAGGACTTTGACAGTATCCAAAGGATGGCCGACTACCACACCAGCACATCCTGAAAGAAATATTCTTTTTTGTAACTCAAACTTGTTTACTTGATTTTAAAGGGTGTAAAAATACTTAAATGCTTAGAAAACCCTTTACCTCCGAGACACCCTGCGAAAAAATCAAGAGCCATTTCCAGGACTTTCTATGTGGTACACGTCAACAAACACACTCAGCTCCAAAGGGTTAGAACTAACAAAAATTAAATCCTTGTTGCGAATCGTGTTGAAAATTTTCTCTAAAAATGTAGACTCCATGTACGGCTACAACAGTTTTGTTCATGATGCGAATAATACTGGGTCACAGTCATTTTTACCTTTTCTTTTAATCTTTACGGGTGAGTGGATTGATACAACACATACTAGCGCAAATCAACTTGTGCTCTTGATGATACGTTGTCTTAAACTGACTTTGAATATTCATTGGTTTATTATAAAACATTCAAGGGTCAGGTGATAACACTTATCTGAAATTCGTTATTTGTTAGTGGCGATTTAAGAAACTACAAGTTTTATTTTAGAATGGTTGTTTATAAGCGGATTGCAAAATTCGTACGTAGATGGGTCAAATGGCAACTTTTTTATTTTGTAGGTGATTTTAGTGTTTTGCGTATGTAAATAAGGAGAGAGTATTCTGACTTCGTGAACTATTTAACAAGGAAACGTCTGTTAAAAATTCGAGACATGACCTCTTGTCTACGTTCGCAGAAACTATATTTTATTTAAGTGTGAAATTAGTTATTTTTAAATATATCTTGATATAACTGCGCTTGAGTGACAGGCATGTGCCACTAAAAACAAATAAATAATCAAATAGTAAACGATTTTGAATTGGTCTTTGTCAGTTCATTGCCCTGTCAAAATTGCGATATGTTAGTAGTCAAATGTACTATTAGATTTGTTCTAACTAAACTCTACTGGACTTTGCTATGGCACAACAGAAAGCCTCTCCTTTTTTATGTAAGCTACAACCAAGTCTATACGTCGAAAACAAGATAAAAAGCTAAAAATTTTGTAATCATAATATCTATTGGCACGTTCTGAGCACGTTCTTTCCCAGATTGAGAAATATGCTTACGATAAATTAACAATACAAAAATGCCAATCAACAAACTTTGAACTTTGTGAATCTAAATTTTGTATTCTTGGGTAAAATATGCGTCGATTTAAGAAAGAATGTTGCGAAATGGAAACAAACAATAAAACTAATCACAAAACGATTAGTCTTAAAAAAACTTCCACAGAAAAGTACGAAAACTTCGGTTTTAATTTCATTTGACAGGTTATTAGCACTGGGATGAAAAAGAAAAACAGAATAATAACACAGCTAATGGTTGGCTGATATGTTTTATTTAATTATTAATTATTAAAACGAGGCAAAAATGTATTTACTGGTTTAAAAATTTCTTTTTTAACACAACAAAATGGCCGCCAAATTACACATCATGATTATATATAGGTAGTTCTGTAATTTATAGCGATATCTTTTAGTGTTGCTTTAACAGTATTTTAAAAATGACCGGAAATTTTGCTGCTTATTAACGTATTTCAATATTAAATGTTGCAATATTTTCCAGAAACCTTTGTGTTGACCTCTGTATAGACATTAGTGAAATAATCTTATGTGTAAGTCATTTTGCCCTCTTACGAAAATGGAAAATATTCGTTGATATGGTATCGAATTGTGTGATTACCCAATTAAAAATTTATTTATACTTATTTTTGTAAACCTGAAAAAAAAAATCTGTTAAGATAAATTAAGAATTAAGATTTCAACAAAATCGTATGTTGTACCTTGTTTGTTTCTATACGATTAAATCTTAATTGGTAACAATTACCAAAAGGTGTAATGTAAATTTAATATAACACCTTGTTCACTTGTCCAGCGATGTATTAATTTTAACATATTATTTTTGTTTAATGGCCATTTATTGTATGATCTGCAACAGTGCTGCTATATAGTTCCTGGAGTTAACAATTCCCGCACTAATCATTTTCACATTCAATGTGTTGGCGTTGACAAATTCCAACAATGTTTTAAAATCCCTGAATTGTGCTTCTTGGAAATGCGGCCAAAACTGTCTCTTCTCAAGAAGTGTTGTAAGATCAAATTTGTTAGCTATAATAAAAAAAACCTTAGAGAAACTGAAAATGTCTCTGGCAAAAACACAAAAATAATATCTCTTCATATGGTATACCTGAACAAGATCCATCTCTCAATAACGAATCCAGAAAAGGTAAAGATAATGAACCTATCTCCAATTTTCTGCAACTGTTACATCCTGATTCTAATAATCAATTTTCTTGCAAGTTTGATGCTAATAAGTCTTGCCCTATCAAGCTAACACTTGGTGATGAAAAACATAAAAAAACATTTAACTTGTTAGGCTTAATAACAAAGAAGCGTCTTAATTTTGACATTGTTCCGCACTTTAAATCTCTGCGTGCGTCAACAGATAAAAATGATAAACAAAGGCTCCACTATAAAGATTTAATAAACCAAATAAAGATCAGAAACAAAAATAGTTAACAAGATCTGTTTATTAAATGTATCCGGGATAAAAAAACTTAACTTATTTATGTCTTATATTATCAAAATGTTTGTAGCCTAAAATAAAGTCTATGACTTTTTGATTTCTTCAAATAATTCTGGTTTTGAACAGAAATGAGGTTCATTGACTCTATGAAGGACTCTTTAACAGGTTATTTAAATTTCATCGAAATTTGCTGGCTACTAATGTTACTCGATACGGTAATGTTTTATTAGTCAAAACGGCAATATTTGGTAATACAAACTTTATTAAATGAAAATGCAAAAATAGAATGGATATTCATCTACATTGCTTGAAAATGTATTCTTCACCAGCTTCATGTCCACTGTATGGAGTTAACACTGGATTGAAATTTTCCATACCAATACGTTTTAGCATGCGATTAAAATATTTTATACATATACTTATATTATCAAGATGAGTCCTCCTGCTTCGATTGGTCTTTTATTCTACTGGTGCCTGCCTTAACCCATAAAGGGTCTTACACACATTATTATCGCTGCTGAGTTCTCTTAATAAATTTCTGGCCTTGTCATTCAGCTGTTAACTTCGGTTTTTCTTGAATTATGCCATTTAAATATGCTTACATAAATATATCAACCTGCTGAATTTTCAAATTTAATTGCAAACAAAGGACAAGCAATAATCTTATAGTGCTTAGACGGACAGCAAGACCAAAAGTTTTGTAGAAGTCCACTCCCGGTTGTTGATTGAACCTTCTTCTGACTACTCGAAATTTTTTCCTTTCGATCGATCTTTCGCCTTGTATTTGTTTCTGATTACAGATCGGCAGTCTATTACATGCTGCTTTTTTACAATCTACAAAGCTAAAAGTATCCTTTTTGATGATATATTCTCTGTCATTAACTATAACCCTTTTCCATCCTTCAGAATCGTATCCATTCAGTACATGATTCCATGAGATTGCACTCATACAAGCGAAGTTCGATTCTGTTCCGGAAACATCTTCTTGGACTATTTTCAATCGGTGCAGATTCAGTCGTAAGTCGGTTCGATCTTCTATACTAATCACGTCAATACTTTGTGGACTTCTAAGTAGCTATATTTTCTTTCTTCGTTGATCGCATCCAGATTTTCAGTGACTACTTGTATTCCTACAGGAATTTCTTTAACTTCATTTGTTTCCTTTGTTTGTGCAAATATCTAAGTATTTACATGACCGCTTTTCTTTAATCATGTTTGTAAATCTGATATCAAGGCGAAATAACCATTTTTTTGTGTCAGACGCGATAACCTTTGAATGTCACAAAAAAGCCTCCTTCTTGCCATTTTCACAAAATCGTTTTGACTCAAATACCCCAGTCATGCTTTTTGACATTGCTTCAGTAACAGTGTGGCCCAAGCTACCTGTTACTGACCGTCTGGAAATCGGGAATTTTTCAGAGGTGCCGATAGCCTTTCCGGCGCCGGTCTACATTTTTCCGCACTGGTTCAGCATATCCTATCCACCCTTGATCAGGGGACTCCGAGATTCTCTCAAATTACTTCCAGAACAAGACACATGGAGGCCTCGAGATTCTTTCAAATTACTTCAAAAACAAAACACAAAAGGTCTCCGAAATTCTTTCAGACTACTTACTTCAAAAACCAGACACAAAGAGCGGCCGGGATTTTTCAAACTACGTGCTTCAGAAACAAAACACAGGGAGGATCAGGAGATTCTTTCAAATTACTTCAAAAACCAGACACAAGGGGTCCCGAGTTTCTTTCAAATCACTTAAAAAAAACTAGGAATCTCACAGATTCTTTCAAACTACTTCAAAAACAAAACAGAAGGAGTCTCCAAGATTCTTTCAAATTGCTTCAAAAACAAAATACAATGGGTGCCCGAGATTCTGTCAAGCTACGACAAAAATCATACAAGGAATCTCCGAGATTCTTTCAAATTGCTTCAAAAAGAAGAGAAGGGATCCCCGAGATTCTTTCAAACTACTTCAAAAACAAAACACAAGGCGTTCCCGAGATTCTTTCAAGTTACTTCAAAAACAGGACAAAGAATTTCCGAAATTCTTTCAAACTAATTCAAAAACCATATATAAGGGGTCTCCGAGATCCTTTCAGTTTACTTCAAAAACTAACACAAGGGATCCCCGAGATTCTTCCAAATTACTTCAAAAACCAAATCCAAGAGATCCCCGATATTCTTTCAAACTACTTCAAAAACAAAACACAAGAGATCCGAGAAATTCTTTAAAATCATCTACTTCAAATACAACACAAGGGGCTCCCGAGATTTTTTTAAACTACTTAGAAAACAAAACACAAAGGGTGTCCAAGAATAATTCAAAGGCATCACGAGCAGGGGTGGATAAAACCATCTGGAAATGAAAAATTTTTCAGTGACGCCGGTAAACGTGGCCCACTAGAAGCCCGGTGCCCGAATCCAAATTTTATACACTTTTAAATGAAGTAAAATTTCGGCCCTTTAGGTGCCAGTCTAAATGTTTCCCGCTTTGGTTCACCGAGTCCCGTCCGCCCCTGGTTCATGTACTCGTACTAGAAATCATAGGCCAGTCCCTATGTTTTTCTGTTGTGGTGTGTCCAATACATTTCTAGAATGTAATATTATTAACAGACTTATTGTTATGAAATTTTAAACATAACTCCTTCACAAATTTCTCTATATAACACAATAGTAGTTTCTTAAACAGTTTTTTTTTTATTTTGGTGAAATTTTTCATCATGTATTGATAAAAATCAATATCTCAATTATTTATGGAAATTTCGGAACGCGGTTTTCACTACGGTTTTCAGCTTACAACTCTAGACACTACCCAAGAAGTATCATCGACTTTTTTATCGAAAACAAGTTACCTTAAAATCAGTTTTGTCGAAAAAAACTACTTTTACTTTTTTAATTGTTTTGAGTTGCTAAAGTGGTTGACGATTTTGGGGATTTCTTCCCGCAATTCATCCCAACCGGCAGTGAAAAGTTATGTATCAGTACATCAACATAATTTTTCAGATATTAAGTTGATTTCATCATCTGCTTAATTTTTTTTTTTCAATCCTAAATTTTCCCCCTCACATCTCACTCATTTCTTATTGTAAGCTCCGGAGTTCTTCAAGAATATTGACTATTGACTGACTTAAAAAGTATTCATCTTTACGAATTTTTCAGGTAAAAATTACAGGACGAAGTCGTGACTAATATAAGTGGATACAATAAAATTGATTAAAAAACTTAATAAAAACGAACACTCCTGGTTCCACAGAAAATAAACAAAAATTTTATTATTTATACGCCATTACCCTCTGCTGGCAAAATTACTACTTGATCAGTTCGTTAATATAAATTTAGATGATGAAATTTTCAAGTATATTTAAACTGATAATAGTCCTCACTGTGGAAATATGATGGCTATAATCGCTTTCTATTCAAAAATGATCATTCTTAGGAAATGAATGACCCAAGTTGTCTTTATTTGTGGTTAAACTGGCGTAAACAATTTTATGAGGTCTTTAAACAAATTTTATTTTGTTGATTTTCTTGTACAGTTTATTTTCAGTACAAACAATAGTTTAATTTTGGGGAATCAGTTGAAATGAGACTTTATAAATGTCTAAAAACTGTAAAATATTCAGTTTAAAAATGGGTTATCAAGTAGGAATTAAAAAACTGATTCATCTGTTCATTTTTTTTAATTATTGAATTTTTCCAAAAATGTTTTAAACACTACTAAATAACAGAAAAACGGAAGTCATTTTTGAGTAATATTTTGCCCATTATATTTAATTTTTATTAAAATAATGAACAGGTTACACCATCTCTTCTTACCATGATTACCCTCTAAATAAATTTTCTCTATTATCAAATTACAAAATAATCTTATCGGCCAATATATCATCACCAAAATAAATAAAATTTAATATTGAAAACAATCAATATGCCAAGTTTTGTAAGTCACAAACATTATTATTTCCAAAAACATAACTATTTATACTTGTTTTTGCAAACTGTGAGCGAAAATCAGCCTTGAAAAATCAGATTACAACTTACAACTACCAACGCACATAAATGCAAGTATCGTAATAATGAATGGAAAATTTTACAAAGCAATGGAATGAAAAAACAACACGCATCTATCTAACAATGAATAATTGTTATCGAAGTGCATATATTTACGCTTCTGTTACTGACCTCTACTAACCAAGAGTAAGTAATTTTAACAAATAACGGAAAAGTACGTTCGAAATTCAGGTCGCCGCATTCGTATTTCCCGCTTGTAGCAGCGCCGCGACGCACAACGTCGCGACGTTACTATAAATGGTCGATCAGCTGTGCGCATCACATGAATTTAATTTCCACAAACTAATTGATGTAACTGAAACACTTTAATACACCGTAAGTATGAACGTGTTTATGATCGTTTTATGTAGTGTGGTTTTGGTTTTAGGACCATCATGGATGGATTTTTGCAAGTGAATAACTCGTCATCGAACCTGCCGTCTTCTCCATCCAATTCTTTCATTGCTGACGAGGTAGCGTCGATTTGCCCATTAATAACCCCTTCGCCACCCACCAATGATCTTATAAACCCATTGCCGGAACCCAGCCAACCCAGTTACACTATTGGAGATGAGTTGGCTACCATTCTTCAAAAGCATGTTCAAGGTTAGGAAAATAAACAACAGTACAAGGCTTGATTAGTTCTATTTTAGATGATGATAAATGTACGGGAGATTCCGCGTCTTCGAGTTCTTCGGCTCTAGCTGAACCTGCTTGTACGCAACTGTTGAACCATAGGAATAACACCTATCATCATATTACTAAAGATGAACACACGGCGACGGAGGTTTGAATTTGTTTACATTTTAGGTTCTAAAGTTCAAGAAACTTAAAAAAATACGATTTTTTTACATATTTCCACGCAGACTAGACGTGACACATACAAAGTAAATACATATTACTTTTCCACTGTGTGTATATGAAACTCTCATTATATTTTTACTATCAAACCGACTCTATTTACTTTGATAAGGTAACACGTTATGTGCTAAAGGCTTAAATTAAATCACTAGATCAAAGAGTAAAGACTACATAAAATATATTAATTATTATTATTATTATTAATGTTAAAATAGATCTAAACTGGCATCTGAATCAGACAAATTGATTTTATGATATCTCCTATGAAATATTTTAACAACACAATACATATAGACACATAGGCTTTACTTCCATCCTTATTTTTGTATTAATAATAATAATAATAATTCTTTTACACATTTTAAATAGAATTTACTTAGCAAATTTTCAACGTGACGTTATCACAATTTAGGTAGGGACTAAATAATAGACAAAATTTTGATATTTCATAGTTACTACATATAATCTTAGAGCATTTGTGGAATTTCAGAACTGTCGTATCTCCATTTGATAAAATAAACAAATAATCTAAATGTCTAAGGTAGAAAATAAGAGACAGACCTTATTTTTTTATTACATTTTAGTACCTTTTGACTACGAAAATTAGTTTAGTGTTAGTGATCTACACGATCATCTTAAAGTAGGTACTTCAAAGATTCACAGATTTCGTTACGGTAGTCAGAAATCACGTGTTTAATAAAATAGCAAACAGAAAGATACAGATCCACACATGACCTAGCCAGTGACAGCCACACAAAAACGGAAAACCGACATTTTTGTATTTTTCAAATTGTAAAACGAAGAGTAAATATTACGCTTACGATCAGAAAGCGTAATAGGAAATTGATTGCCGTTTCAGTTACAGTTAACAAAGACATGTGTCACAGAAAAAATGGTGGCACTAACTTTAGAGTAAAACGTGTTAAATGTTAAATGAATTACAAATAATGAATTCATTAGTGATTAATGAATATAAACTATCGTCGTTTGGAAGGACAGCTAATATAATGTTTTCTCAAATTTTCACAGCTCATAAAATACAAAAATGTCAATCTCCTCTTGCTATCGGTCTTGTCGTCTGTCTATCCTCTATCATTTGTTGATGATTTTATAATACAGATATTCCTCGAAACTACTGATTATTGTGTAATTGTTGAATACTTTTATTTAAAAATATCATGTAGAATTTAAAAAAGCTAATTAATTCCTCTCCACCAAAAATTTAATGACGTCACCTAAAAGTTTTGCTAAATAAATTTCTTTTGAAATTCAGATTATAAAATGTTCGTTTGTTCATCTGTAGATATTTTTATTGGTGAACAACAGGTTATTATTGTAAAAAAAATAAAATTTATAAAATAACATTTTTGAGAAGGCTAACAGTAAACTAACTACAGAGCATAGATTACAATTTTTTTATTCACTTTCTGTAGAAAACATCATTCCAAAAATTCACTAAATAAATCTATGTTACAAGATATACAGGATGAGTCACTCACACGCTTTCTCATCGATATCTCATTAATTATTATTAGCAATGAAAAAAAAAGTCGAATACTACAGTTGTACAGTTCTTTGAGGACCATATAGTTTTAGTGCTATTTTCAACGATACGGAGTGTTGTTTTTAAGGCATAACATACAACTTAGTTATTTCAAATGAAATACTTAATGGGTAATATATTTTTTAGATATTCTGAGTTCTGACTGACATCTTAGTCTTTATAACCACGGTTTATTTTTGAAATTCCGAAGCGACGTTGTCACATTGTACCAATTTTCTTTCGTTCACAAAAAATCGTAATAGGTTTATTTTTTAAAATAAGTGTTACAATATTTTGTGAATAGATAAACACAGGGAACCCATTGTTGTAGTATCAAAATGAGTCTCAATATACAGAGTGTTTCAAATATCGATCTTTCAGTTTTTTAAAATAGTATTTTATTATTTTTATTTATTCTGTTTTTTACATTTTATTCTGTTTTTTGTCCTTTTTCTGTTTTACTAAGTGTCTTTTAAATTTAAAGTTAATAGTTATCGCAATTTTTTACCTTTTTTGAAAGTCACACCGACATGTTGAAAGAGAGAACAAAAAATAGAGTAAGATGCAGTAATCAAATACAGGATGTTTTATTACAAAAAATTGAAATATCGACATACGAAAGTTGTAAATTTTACATGTTTTTATAAACACTAAATTAAAATAAAAAAAAATTAAAAAATTTGCAGAAACGTGACAATGTCACATCGAAATTTCAAAAATAAACTATTGTTATAAACTCTAAGAAGAGACTCTCGTTCTCCTCGATAACTCACTAATTATTAAAAATAGAAAAAAAATCTTTCAACTATACAGTGTTTCTCAAATAGAATACTTAGCCTATATACTCTTACATATTTTGAGTGACCTCTTCTTAAGCTTTATAATTATTATACATAGTTTATTTTCGACATTCCGATGCGACGTTGCCAGGTTATTCTGATTTCCTAGAAATTTTTTAGCCTTGAAGGGTTCACAAAAAAAGCTCAGCAGGATTGTTTTTAAACTCTGGGTCCAAATATTCTGTAAAAATGTACAGGTAAGCGCTTTGTTGTAATATAAATAAAATTGGATTTTAATATATAAAGTGTTTGTAAACAAATTCATTATAACAATTTTCAAATATATGTATTTCAGTTTTGTCAAATAGTACATCTTTTTATCAGGGTGATCAAAATATAAGGGATAAGTTCGATGGTATGCTGTTAAGAAGGCTCTGAAAACTAGAAAAAAAATGGTTAAAAAAATCCTGTAGCAAATTTCTGAAAATATTAAACTTGAAAACTGAAGAATTAATTTCGTACAGTAATAAATGACAGAATTACGAAGTTAATTCTTAACTTTGAGGTTTGATATTTTCAAAGTTTAGTGCAGGAATATTTTAACCACTTTTTTCCAGTTCTTCAGAGGCTTCTTTACAACATACCACCGCGCTTATCTGGCATTTTTTGAAAACCCTGCAACATATTTTGTTTTTTTTATTTTCTTTCTTTTTTTATTTTCTTTCTTTTTTTGTTAGGATTTTTTTATATTTAAATAATAATAATAATAATAATAATGATATTTATTTTCTACAGGTGTTATCACCCAATTACAGAAAATAACTTAATATTAAATCCCATTTTAAAAACCTACCTTTTACACAAATAAAGTAAAATAATTAAATTCCATAAACCTCAAAAATTTTTTGTTTTATAACATTAACGTTATCAAAATTAATATCACACAAATGAGATATACCATTAAATGTATTACACATGACAAAAATAGGCGATCTAGCTAGTGCATTAGTTCTACAAGTATCCAGATGAAAACAGATTTTATATCGTGCATTAATTCTTGGAACAGTGTAGCAAATTTTGCTAATTATATGAGTACAGTCGATTTTGTTATGTAGGAGCTTAAATAAAAAAGTAATACTCTGCGTTAACCTGCGTACTCGTAGCGAATTAAGAAGGAATCTAGTTAACAAATTAATTTCACTGATGCCCCTTTCAGGATAGACTCCATCTAATTTATAGCAAATAAATTTTAGGAAGCGTCTTTGTACTGATTCCAAGTGATCGATATGTATGTTATATATAGGTGACCATATTAAAGCGCCATATTCTAATTTAGAGCGCACAAGAGCAACAAATAACATTATTAATGGTTGAATCTTGGTGAAATCTTTACAGGAACGATGAATAAATCCTAAAGTCTTCAGTGATCTTTCAACTACATCATTCACATGTGGTATAAATGTAAGTTGATTATCAAATGTTACACCTAAGTCCTTAAAGGAATCCGTTCGACTGATAGTGTAATCATTAATTTTATAGGGGTAAATAATAGGACATTTCTGCTTAGTATATGACATAGCGTAACATTTGGGTTCGCTTAGTTGTAGTAGATTTGTCCGACACCAGAAAGAAAGAACATTTACATTCTGTTGTAGAGCTAGGCAGTCATTAACAGAGTAAATTCTATGATACAACTTGAAGTCATCAGCAAACAACAGTTTATTGCATGAAATATTTGCCGGCAGGTCATTGATAAATATTAGAAACAACAAAGGGCCAAGATTCGAACCCTGCGGCACTCCAGACGTTGGGACGAATGAGTTAGATATACAATTGCGATATCTCACACAATGCTGACGATTCATTAAATATGATTGAAATAGGCCTAATAATGAATCAGAAAAACCCAAGAGGCGCATTTTGTTAAGGAGCAGCTGATGATTAATTGTATCAAACGCCTTCTGAATGTCAGTATATATCACATCCATCTGTCCATTGTCATCAATCGTCTCAGCGAGGTCTTGAGTAATGCATAATAAATTTGTTATGGCGGACCGATTTTGCATGAAGCCATGTTGTTCAGGTGAGATGGTATGTTTGATGGCTGTATATATTCTATTATGTAAGATAGACTCGAAAACTTTCACGAAGTTGCAGAGTAGCGCTATCGGACGGTAATTTTCTATCTTTGATAGAGCTCCTTTTTTATGGACAGGACATATAACTGATTTCTTCCAAATTGATGGCAATTGTTCACTACTAATAATAAGATTAAACAGATGTCTTAAGGGTTCAGTCAGTACAGTAGCACAGTCTCTTGAGAGAAAACTTGGAAGTCCATCTGCTCCAGATGTAAAACTGTTCTTGGATCGTTTAAGTGCTTGATAAACTTCATCACTACTGATATTAGATATAGCCACAGTAATATCGTGGTCAATATCTGCTGTAATATTATCAGGAGGTATTGTACTAGCAGACGTATAGACTGATTTAAAGAAGTGACTAAATCCATTAACAATATCAGTTGGTGTTTGTAGTGTGGTATCCTTGTAGTGCATAATTCCAGGAATTCGGCTGCGACCCTTTTTTTGTTGAATAAAGCTCCAAAATTTCTTTGGATCAGTTGACAATGTAGCTTGCATGTTATTAATGTATAGGCGAAATCTCTTATTTATCAGTGTTTTCGTTCTAGAGCGATATTGATTAAACATGTTACGGTAGTGGTTAGTGCCATATTTTTTGAATTTTTTAAGATAAATTGATTTACTACGTAAGCAACTAATGATTTCCATATCAAACCATGGAGGATAAGAACGTTTATTTTTACTGCACTTGTATTTCGGAACAGCAATTTCAAATAAGTTATTAAGAATTTCATAAAACTTATCACATGCGGTATCAACGTTGTGAAGTTCATACATATGATCCCATTTTGTAGATAGAATGAGTTTATAAAGAAGTACAAAATTAGCTTTACTAAAGTTAAAATTTTGTATATTGCTACAAAATTCAAAATTTTTAAAAGAATTATCCGAAGTTGAGAAAGAAATATCAAGGGTAGGATGATGTTTGTCTTCAGACACTATCGGGCAATCAGATTTGGTTACACTACAAGTTATATTGGCGAAGACTAAATCTAGGATACGATTATTGGAATTTAGAACTGTGTTATATTGATAAAAACTGGAAAAACTTGCATAATTATTTAATATAGCAGTATATCTGTTATCCGAATCACTGTTGTATGACGAAACATTGAAATCCCCTAAAACTACTGTGTCACAATCAGAGTCTTTATATAAATTACTAAACATGTCAAAGAAAACCACAAAATCGTTGAAAGAGACAAATGGGGGTATGTAAACAACAAAAATGTTCAATTTTTTGTTATTGGTGTATATTATCGAAACTCCCAATAAATCGATGGCTGGTACTATATTGATAAGGTTAGGTACATTTAAAGATGAATATATATATATATTATTGACTGCCAGAAGTACTCCTCCACCTTTAGATACTCCAATGGCATTGAAGTTTCTGTCATGTCTGTATACGGAAAAATAATTATGAGGAAATAACTCACTGCTGGCGATATCATCAGATAACCATGTTTCAGTAAGAGCAATTAGGTCAACACTAGGCGTTAACATATACCGATAGCATTCACTGATTTTGGTACGTAGCCCCCTAACATTTTGGTACAAACAGGTGTAAAAATTGGTGCAATTGGGTGAGCGGGTTAGTTTAAAGGTGAAGAGGAGATAATTTTGGGTACATCATTAATGTACCGAATTCTTAAATTGGTTTCACCTCGGTTTGTTCTTTCAGTTAACTCTTGCTTAACTTTTTTATAATATGCTAACTGGCGTGGGGTTCTATCAAGTGACACAGACATATCTTTAAACTTGTCATTACCTTTTAATTTCTTAGCGTTTTGAATAATTCTTTGAACATCGGATTCGTTGCTCAACGTAACTTTTATTGGCCTAGGACGTGGATTTAAATCAGAAAAACGACCAAGTTGATAACTAGATATCAACTTCAATCTCAATAATTATTCAGATTATTTACTTTCTTTTTTTAGAAAGTGATAAAAATAGTACAAGATATAATAATAAAATAGAAGGTTAAATATCGAAATTTGAAAGCTGTAAAGTTTATTTTTTAAAAACACATATTATTAAAACAGATATTAAAAATTACTTTATTGCGATTTTTTATGAACCCTTGCATTGCTAAAAAAATAGAATAACGTGGCAATCTCGCATCGGCATTTCAAATAAACTATACTTGTAAAGCCTAGGAAGGGGCTAATAGGAATATGAAAAATATATAGGGTATTTCATTAAAGAAAAAACTAAGTTGTGTGCTATACTTCGAAAACAAAACACTCTGCATAGTCGATAATAATTTTAATATTCAAAGAGGAGCACATCTTTAGTCTCTGTCTTAGTGACTGATTCTGTCTGTATACATTTTTTTATTGTTTACGCAAGGAATCTTTTTCTCAAAAGTTGTAACTTTTACGACTAAACCAACAGCTTCGAACAAATAATCATTACTTTCATTTACTCGTATTAAACAACAGGCTGTTTCATTTTTCTTGATATTTTATTGTAACTTTTACGACAAAACCAACAGCTTTGAACAAATAATCATCACTTTCATTTACTCGTATTAAATAACAGGTTGTTTCATTTTTCTTGGTATTATCTATCTATCAAAGCCAAAACAAAAATTTACAATGTAAACCCATTTCAGTTTTACATTTTTAGGAAACCGCGGGCAAAGTCCAACCCCTCCAACTCACATTCAGAAACCCACCAGAAAACTACTTCTTCATGTCATGGAACTGGCCTCTAATCCGAAAATTCTCCCTAGGGATGTTCCTCTCCGGCTTAGTAGCGATGGTGGGTCTCGTAGTCATGATGATATCAACACTCCCAAAAACCTGTGACCCGTACACAGAGTGGTACCAAGGAAAAGTTTTCTACGAAATCTTCCCAGCAAGCTTTTATGCAAGCAACAAAAACCACGAATACGGAGACTTAAAAGGAATCGCTCTAAAAACTGAATACTTTCAGTCTCTAGGTGTAAGGGCCATTCGTCTTAATTCAATATTCAAAACCTACAACTACCCAGAAGATTACAAAAACGTGACGACCTTAATGGAGATAGCACCACAGTTGGGGACAATCGATGATTTTCAGAAACTAATTAAAAATTACCTAGAACCGAAAAACATCTCCTTGATTCTAGATCTGCCAGTGTTTCCTATAATGAAACAATTGAAAGCTACCACAAAACGTGATTTTAATAACACGAAGGAAAATTCTCCCGAACCGAATATAAAAAAACCACATTTGGATTTAATAGAAGAAGCATTACTCTTATGGACGAGTAAAGGGGTCAGTGGTTTCTACTTAAAAGAAATGGAATTTTTCACTGACGATCCAAATTTAGTCCAGTCGCTACGTCGCTGGAAAAAAATCATCGGTCCAGAACGTATTTTTATTGTAAGTGAAGCTTTTATCACTTCTACTGGAAAAATAATGAACACGGTTCTCAATAACGTGGACTTAGTAGACGTCCGGTTAGAAATCGAAAAAGGTTTATCTGCCGTTACCAAGCAAATCGAGTTCGTTCAGAACGGTACTCTTTTCTCTAAACGTGGCCTTCCGTGGGTCCACTGGAATCTTGGCGACGATTCCTCAGCTAATCGTCTCTCTAATGTTCTACCATATGGTAATGCAACTCTTGGTGCCACTTTACTACAACTGATGCTCCCCGGTACTCCCTCTGTCTTCTACGGAAATGAAATAGGTCTGCAAAGAGTAGCAGACTCTAAGGGTGACAGAAAAGACCAGCAGCACCTCCACCACTTAACATTTATGCCATGGGACGAGAAAAAGCAACATAAGGTACTACCATGGATGTACAGCGAAAAGACAAATCTAAATTTTGATCAAGCTAAATCTGTTGCTCAAATGGTCAACTTGAGGCTCAAATCACCAGCAATCTTTTTTAATTCGATTTACAAAGAGGGAGACAACAAGGCAAACTCTGAGGTGATCTATTCCCGCGATAATTTGCTGGTTATACAAAGGTGGTACCCGAGGAGGAAGTCGTACGTTGTTGTGAGTAATTTAGGGAATAGCACTGTTACGCAAGATTTGTCGACGTTGTTATACAGTGGAACTGTCGTCATTGGGCCTAGAACAGACTCCAAATCTGAAAGTATTTCTTTTAAGAACATTTCTTTATGGCCTGGCGAATCTGTAGTTATAGAACTAATGTAATGTTACTTATTTGCGATTGTATCAAAGATGTCCGACGAATAAAATGTAAGACCCCACGTCCTAATGTCAGTTTTTTCTGTGATACGTATATTTTTTTAAACGCGGCTGCAGTAGGTATTTTGTTAAAGCAGATTTGTTAATACGTAATAAAATGAATAAGTTGACGCAAAATGAATTTTATTTGTCAGTCGAAAATACACACACTCGTTATTACAGGATGCACCATGCTATTTTTTGTGATATACCTATACGAGTTTTTGTAGGTACCATATTTTTTGCCATATTTTCTTTTTGTGTCATATTTTATGTCGAATATAAGAATTTTGCCCCATTTTTAAATCGAGATGCATTTCTTGTGTAAATTTTTGTCGGGCATATATTTTTATTTTTTATATCGAATATAAATTTGTTGTACCACTTCTTTACTTCCCGATCGTAAGCTAAAGAAGTATAGTAATCGATTCCATCGGACGAATGGGCACTTTTATGTTTAGTTAAGAATATTGTCCTAACCAAAATTTATTTATTCATCTCCACCAACAATTAATGAAGTAAACTGTTTTCTTTTTTTTCGTAGTAACTCATATTTATATTTTATAATAGAACATTCATCTATATTTGTGTTTTATGAGTCTGCCTTAATTTTTATCACAATTACTTCACAAATATTTGTGTCCGCATAGTTTTGTGCCATTTTTTTATGACGAATTTTTGGTGCCCTTGTGTCGTATATTTTGTTTGTGCCATTTTCTTTTTCTGATGTTTTTTTTGGTGCCATTTTTTTGCACCGAATATTTTGTGTTTCAATTCTTTTCTCATACAGGTATTTTTTATGCTATTTTTGCTTTTTTTTGGTTTGGCGTCTCCTGTCCCCTCCATTTACACAACGGGAAAATAAAAACCGCCATCTATAGAGACTGCTTTATTTGAAACTGAAGGCAGCACCATACATTTGAAGCTTCAATGAATTTCGGATGCTTGAAATAAATAAAGAAAAAACATAAAACAAAATTAAAAATATCATTATTTTTAATAATAAAAGTTGAGCAAGTGTATACATTACTGCTAAACATTATGTACTGTAAAATTACGTGCGGTATTAAAAATTACCATTATGTATGTACATGCAGGGATGGCAAAGGGTGCCGATCTTTCGGCAGAGGAATGTTTAAAAAAAAAAGAACAACCAACGCTTAATCTGCTCAAAAAACCGGCCCCCACCTAACCTTAACACAACATATTGCAATGATGGCACCCTGAGTATAACAAATTCTCATACTACTCTAGCACTGGAAAACGTCACTTCTATCATGAATGGGACTGCATAGTTTTGTGTTTGGCATGCGGATCCGTAACGTAGTTATTCGGCGTAGCCCTCGGGATTTCCGGAAGCTTATCTCCCGGATGCCGGTGGCTAATCGACGGCACTTTCCTCGTCGTCTTGTTATTGATCCTAGTACTACTCAGTCCCGACACTGGGTACTTAGCACGCGTACTACTAAGCGATCGCGGTTGAACTTCACCCGGGTGCTTCGGCATCACGAACGCCTTGGTCTGCTTTATCAACGACCTATCATTGCACAACGCGGATATCAGCGGCAAGTCCATTTTCTTGCTTTTTTCTCTTAGAGTACGAATATCAAGTGCGCTCCCTTTCTCACCACTCGCAGAAACTTCCACTTTCGTCGCTTCGCTACCAACTTTCGTCACTTCCTTCTTCTTCTCGATGATAAGCCTCGGAGGGGGCGGCGGTAACCGTCGCCGAAACGCCGGTGGCTGCGGTACCGCCTCCAACGAGTTCAGGATGTTATCGTCAGAACGCGTCCGCATGAACCTCCCAGGACGATTGGGAGGTAGAGGCGGAGGCGGCGGCTCCAAGCTACCAGTCGAAGAAATACTCGCCGCGCCGTAAACTGGTAGCTGTACGTACGTATCCGACAAGTTCTGACTGGATGCGTACCGTCCCAGATAGGACGTACTACGGTAGAACATCGGTTGGGTTTGTACTAACGCTGCTAACTTAGCCTCCAAGTACTCCTGCTTACTGATCGCCGGCTCCTTCAACGGGAACATGACGAAATCCACGTCACTATACATCTGCTGCTTGTACTGCTCAATCTGCGATCGAGACAGCTGGCTGGTGTACACCGTCGCTAAAGCCGGAGGCGGCGGTGGCGGCTGCCGCGGAGCCGGAGGCGGAGGCGGGAGAAAAGTACAAGGGACCAAAACACTCGCTTTGCTAGCAGCTACGTCCAAATAATTGTTTGGCGAGATGATGGTGTTCATCGTCGGTACTCCTCGTGGTATTTTTGGAGGAATCGGTGGTACCGAACTGGGAGTGGAGTAACTCGGAGAGGATGAAGCCCCGACGCTGCTAGCATGTGCCGTCAAAATGCTCGGAGAACGCGTGGTTATGAACCTGGCGGCTGCTTCCTCCGAGGGATACACTGGCGGTGGTACAGGCGTCGGGTTATCTGGATACGGTGGAGGATCCCTCATGGATATCTCAGAAACGAAGCTCTGATCATCAAAATCAGACGCCTCGGTGATGGGTACCTAAAACAACAGGGCGCATTAGTTATAACAAGTTTTACAAAATCAGCAATCATTATTTAATTTTTTTTAAAACTACCTTCTGGTCATAACTAGAGGAAAACCAGAATGGTTTCATAGTAAACAAAGTACAAAGTAAGAGGGGAAGAAAAACATTTAGTGAATAATGTAAGGGTGATTTGGAAATATGTACAAGAATAACCGAATTATGCACGCTGACGACTTGCACTAGCAGTACTAACTGGGGAAAACGTCTTAATCAGAAAATATTCAGGTATTGTGCTGGTTATCATAATTGGAAATATTAAATTATGTTACTATCTAACTAGAGTTAAAACACCCACTCTCACAATAGACATTTAAAGTACCTTCGTCAACTGCGCTCCATACGGTGGCGGAGGCGGCCTAAACCTCTGCTCGGCACTGTCTATCCTCTTCGGTGGTACCGGAATGTACCCTTGGTACGACGAAGGTAACGTAACGTAATCAGAGTCAGAATCCAACGTATGACTGACGCTCTTACACGACGGGTAACGACCAACGATCAAGTCTGACAGTTCTTCGGCTGAGAGTAATGCTTGTTTGTTATCGGTGGGATCGCTCCCATCTCCGTGGAACGATCCCGAGTTGCTGACGTTCGAATTGGATCGATCTCGGAAAGGCCCATCGACTTGGTCGCTCTGGGTTGTTGCATATTGATCGCTAGAACTCAACGTGTACTGATCGCTGGAAGTGAGAGTGTAGACACCGCTGGTATGGCTACTGGGTGCCGGACCGGATGTGTAAACTGGTTCCCGTGTATCTAATTCTATACATGTGGCATCGCTGACTGCTGAATTTTGGGCCGTGTGGGAATAGCCGAGTTCGAGGCTGCTACTGGTGGAAGGTCTTCGTCCTTTGTTTTCTGAAAGAGGAAAGGCGTTAGTGCCCAAAGTTGATTTATGCGCGAAAACGGAAGGGGATTCATGGGTGGCAGTGACCTGAGCCGGGACAACTTGGTGTCGTAAAATATATAGCGTGAATAATTAATACGAATAAAAGCTTATTAATAATTAATCTCAACACTTTAACCTTCCTTATATGCTATTTTTTGGTAGAAACTTTAATGTTTCCGAGGCTCGGAAGAGAAATGTTTAGCCATTAAAATTTTGAGACGTGACCTCAAATTTTGCATATCATTTCCAGAGATATTTAGTTTCACTCTTGTCTGGCGTGAGAAATGATAACGGCAAAAAGCTGTGAGGGTTCTTGGTGTTCGAAAGAACTACAATTTGTCGAAAAGAACTGTAACCAAAGTCTTTTGACTGTAAAGTACGTTATTGCATTCAAATACACTTGTGATGATGTGCTGAAGTAAAAGTAATGACACTCTGCATTTGGAACAGTTCTGATTACTCGTAGAACAGATGGCGATTATTTAAGTTCTTCTTTTTATAAATTGCTTCAGGTTGTCAGACCTTCAGAATCTAGATCTAAGATGGCGTTACTTACATATACATATAAAAATGAAAAAGGTCCCAGAATAGATCCTTGTGGGACCCTTAAAATAACTAATATTGCATTGGACTAAAAACTACCAAAAGTTACGTTTCCTAACAATTTAATTTTTCCAACCGACTTGGGTTTCGAAATTAAAAGATAAACTACGGAAGTTGGTAAACATTAGATTCAAAACATTTACCAGTTTTTCCTGGCTATTATGCGATATCACACGTAAGTCGTTTACATAAATATAAAACGAAAGGGGCCCATAGTCGCCCACTGAAGCACACCCCATACTTATCTGTTTAGAAATCTCATCAGTGTCACTGTTTTGATAAGTTATTGCTACTCTTCAAGATCTACCGGATAAATACGATGAGAGAAAGAAAACCGTAGCGTCTGTCGTCCCGAAGGAATCATGGTCAGACAAAAGTTTAGTTTTGGCAAATAGGCAACTTGTGCTATGTCAAGTTGACAGCACAGACAGGAGAATAGTGAGACAACCCCCTGCTGTGTAATCTGCTTAGATAATTACTGTGCAGATTGGAAATCAATGTTTCATTTCGGCTTGAAAGAAAAATGTGAATATTCCAAGTCTTAGTACATACGAGTAATTTACAGATTAATATGTAACTGCATTTTATTATTCTAGGCTACTGTAAAAAGTTTAAAAATTATAACTTAATCTGTAAGACAAACATAAAAAACGGCAATAACGAAAATTAATTTCCTGAGAGCAGATAAAGTTGAAAAAATTTTTATATATACTTTATAGTTTTGTTGAGCACAATTGAGTTTCTGCAGTCGAAAACTACATAAGTGTAATTTTTATCCAAAATCAGGCTTTGATATCACCGAAAAATGTGACACTGCACAAGACTAACTCTTTAGGCAAGAATTCAACTATCACCTTTTTGTAACAATATTCATTACCCGGGGATTATGATTTTTCCGGACTTCGTATAATAAGATGGCAGGGTTTGTGGAGTTATTTATTCTTTGACCGTTATTTAGTTACTTGAAAATATACACGGCTTAAAATTTTTACAATCGGGTTTAATTTGTGCTTCCCCAGCGTAAACGAACGACTGGATACTTTCGTTTTTTCCACGTTTCATGACCCCTAAAATACGAAAAAATTAGTCTCCCAGTTCCGTCTGTCTGTCTGTCCTCTCTGTCGGTTTCTATTAGACAGATAATGTCCGAAATTACCGGACCGGTTATTACCAAATTTTATGTTCATTTTAGAATTATCGTGTAGATGGTAAAACGCTAACCAAAATTTGTCTAATCAATAATCTGATGACGTACAAATCAAAATTGTATACCAACAGTTTCCAATTTAACTTTGAAACGACAAAACCGAATGTTCTGAAATCTTGCAAACATTTTAAAGTTTATGCATGATACATCGTTAATTAAAATTTATCCATTTATCCTCTCCCAAAAAATGGATGGCGATTTCTCAAAATTTTGCCCACTGAATCCTATCTAAAATATGCAAAATATTATGAATCTATTCTTGTGGTTAAAACTATATGCAAATTTTCTTGATCGCAGCAAACAATTGACCCTTCCCTCTCAGGTAGTTTGCGTGCAACTGTCTTGAGAGATTAGGAGCACCTGTCTGCAGATTTTTTTTTGACCTCGGCGCGCAACTGACCCGTTCCCCTGAATTGTACGCCACAGGTATAATAGAAGTTATAATTATTAACTATTAGCATTTTACCGACGGAAGCGTATACTGCGTAAATACAGTATGTCGGACGAAGACAGAAACAGACACATACTGTTTTACAACACCTTGCCAAAATTAAAAGAAGTTTACCATAGTCAGGTAGGTTTCTTCTTTCATTTTTATTTAATTGTAGATTTCTGCTACAATAACATTGTGTGCATTTTTGTTTAGTTTCACATTTTAATCTAAAATATATAGAATTGAAAAACTGTAACAGTTCATGAAAGATTACTTAGTAGTCAGATCTTCAGCAAAACTGTATGTAAAATGAAGGTGAAATGAAGAAAATAACCTTCATTTACTGTAACCTCATTTGACATGCACCTGTTAAAACTTTTATGACTTAAGCGGCTTAAGCCAAAGCACCCTTATAAGACAAACTGGCTATTGTAAGCTTTGTGGACCCGAACCGCAAGATTATTACTGTCCATTGTTGGCATAATGTAGCTGTGAACTGAGTTAAGTAATACAATAGCCAGTTTGACTTATAAGGGTGGTTTGGCTTAAGCTGCTAAGTCATAAAAGATTTAACAGGTGTATCTAAAATGGGGTTACTTTATTTACGATTGAGGGGTTTAAAAAGCAGGTACTATTTGTACCCAGTCAATTATCGGATTAAGATTTATACCCGCCAAGATGTCATAAATCATCTCGACTCTGTGTACTTAGTTGTCTAACAAAATCTTGCAATTTTTTCTCTCATGTTTTGCTATAACTTAAAAAGTTATATTTTAAAGGCAAATAAAAAAATCAGCCCAATGCGTAGTAAAATTTTCTACAAGCCTCTTTATGTTTCACATCAAAATGCCGTATTATCTTCATACAAAACAAGTTCTCGTATTTGTATTTTGTAATGTTTTCAAAAAAAACTACAACAAAATTTCGACAAATAAAATATTTCTTCTCAGATATTTTTATGTGAAAAAGTCATAACTATAATGAAACTACAACTGGGAACAGCGTTTTACGTTATTTCTGACATAATAGTCTGGGTAGATGAGGTTCTGCCTTAACGGTGCGCATTAATAACCTCGACCGCATCGCGTCCTAGCAGGGTTGATGTAAAAGAAGACTTACTGTTCTGCACCGGCGTCACAACGACAGTGCTGCACGACGAGCTGCATTGCGATCCTGCACACTTTCCGCTAACCGTCTTGGCAGAGCTTTCGCTGCAAGCCGGCTTGCTGACTTCTTCCTCTTCTTCCTTGAGTGAAAGTGCAGAGAGAGCAGCCGTCGCTGACGCCGCCGAAGTTCGACTGCTAGCTGGCGCACTGTCCAGCAGGTGAGCCAGAGCCAAACTTTCCGTGGAGGGTGCAGGCGGGCTCGTAATCATGATCTCCAGCTCGTCCTCCGAGTGCACCCGGTCGCTCACGATCCCCGACGTCGTGTTCGACGAGGTGCTCGAGATCACCGAGATCCGCTGGTCGCAGTCCCAGCGCTGCTTCTCCTCCTCCTCGCGGCGCGCCTCGCTCAGCCTCGGCGCCACCGCCATGCTGAAGAGGTGCGCCGCCTTGCACAGCGCCAGGAGCAGCCGGCTCTTCTCGTCGCTGCTCGTGTACAGCGTGAGCTTCTCGTGGCCGGTGCGGATCTCGAACTTCTTGCGCTCGAAGCTCAGCTTGCCGATGGAGCTCCAGAGGAAGATGGAGGGCGGGTTGTTGTCGGGGCACACCTTCAGCCCCTTGGCGCAGACGGCGAGCAGGATGGAGCCCGGCGCCTGCTCGCTTTTGGAGGCCCGCAGCCGGAAGACGTGCGCGTTGACGGGCTCCTCCAGCTGGCAGGCCTCGGTTATAAACCGCGATCGGGCCTCGGCCTTCGAAAGGCTGCGATGGGAGCGATGTAGCACTTGGATAGTGCGAAGAGCAGCAGGTCCGCGTAGATTCGGTGGGACGTAATCTTCTGGTCGGAACGTTGTGCTGTCAGTACGGTCCCCAAGGTCTGCTTGAAGAGCAAGGCCGGCCAGGTGCATGGCAACGTCTCCAGCAGCGCCAGAAGATGCGTTAAGGCGCAGCTGAAGGTAATAGTGGTGGCGAGTTGTTTCGTCGCGGAGAAGAAGAGGGCTGTCCACGTAGAACTGGACGCGGAAGTAGAAGGCGAGGGCAGGACGCCCGTTGGCGTCGAGGCCATGGCTGTGGGAAGAACGCCAACTTTTTGGGGCGTATTTGGACAATTTGCTATCGGGCTCGGCAAAGAGGTATTCGCCATCTGAAACGAAAACAAAGTTCACGAGGTTTGGGAAAAACTCTACCCTACAATACGAAAGTGACAAATGTCGCTATCAAAATCAATGTCCAAACATAATACAGTGATATCATGATACGTCTAAAAATTAAAAAAAAAAACACCTGTTGCATATGTTGATAGCACAGGTCTGTAATTGAACCCTTTATGAGAATGCGGCAGCCATTTTGTACCACCGAAGGTTATATCTAGGTATTTATATATCAAATCAAATTTCAGACCCTTCTACTTAAGTAGATGTACTCAATACGAAGAACAACATCGCATATTAGGTCTTGGCGTATGAAAATTGAGGGTGATCTTTTGAGTAACAAATGTTACAAAATGTCGTAATTTCTTTTTTTGGATGCTTCACTTCCGATCGGCATCCATTAGAATTCTGAAGTTGTGCCTTTTTCAAACTCTGTTATTTTTATTTTTGTAACCTTTTTTCTACAACACATATTGAAATCATTATCATTGTATTTTCCTGCCTAAGAATGATGTATCAACAATAAATATAAGCACCCTACCTGAACAAGTACCAATGAATGAATGGTAGACTACTGAAACTTGATTATAATTTGCCGATTTTGGTGATTTTCTCCTATGTCAACACTATTGACCTGAGAGAGTTGATTTTTTTCAGTAAGTTCCTGGACCAACATTTTCTTGGAGAAAAAAATGCTTGAAATTTGTAAACTTTTAAAAATAGCTTATTTTGAAAGCTCCTGATATCATTACGTTAAGGAAAAAATACAAATTTGAAATTTCAGGAAATATAGTCCCCACGTTCATCTTGTCACGCCAGCAAATCCTGTTCTGTTATTTTCACCTCACTATAAGAGATATACATATACATATATTTTAATGATTGTTTGTGAAATTATTACAACAAATTGGCTTCCACAGAAAACTATTACAGTACCTATGTATATGTAGTTTTCTTTCAATTCCAATTATTGCTGCGACTGGCAATGAGTTATGGTGCCTTGTTAAGCTTAAAGTGTCTGCATGAGTTCTTTTTGGTGTCAAAAACAGATGTTGAAGATGCAGGAACGTATTTATCCGAAAGATTTATGAGTTTAATTACAATCAAAAATACAAGGACTTATCGTAATTTTGTACCTCCTTCTCATCATACTTAAAAGTACGAATCAAGCTTCTACCACTTCGACATTGTTAAAATAAGTCAAGAAACCAAATGTGTCAAATAAGCAGTAAATAAATCTCTATGTACAATAAACATATCTAACATTATGACTGGAGTTACATGTTTTGTTTTACTTCTACTACACGGAATAACATGATTGTTTTCAAATTTTGATATACGTCTTGAAAATATTACTTTATTTTTAATAAATAGTACTATTGTAAACAATTCTTCCAAATTCTAAATATATTGTTAGGAACTAGGTGTGTATATAGGGGTGTCATAGAAGTTTTTTTAATATCTCCTAAGACTATCTTTTAGAAAAATTAGATCTCTTAGTGAGGCGAGGTAAGAAAAGATGAACGTAGGGACTACATTTCCTCAAAGTTTCAAATTTTTCAAAATAACGATTTCAGGGTACAGTAAGCTACTTTTGACAGTTTACATATTTCAGGCAATGTTTTTCAGAAGAAAATGATAGTCCAGGCATTCAAAACTTCCGTTATATTTTCTATTGCATGAGCACTAAATACCTGAAAAAAATCAACTCTCTGATACATAGGTACTGCGTTAACACATAAGCCAGCTGAAAATTACCAAAATCAGCAAATTATAACGAAGTTTCAGAAGCCCACCAAGGTGCTTATATTTATTACTGAAAGCACACTTTTTAAACAGAAAAATAAAATTACAATCATTTCAATATGTGTTATAAAAGAAAACTTAGAGCCCATAATAGGAGATTTTCAAAATAGCACAACTTCAGATTCAGGGGTGCCAATCGGAAGCGAAGCATCCAAAAAAATAAATGATGACGGTTTGTTACCTAAAAGACCACCCTCAATTTTTTTCATCAAAATCAAAAACTATGTGCCGCACTTTTTTATTAAAATTTGGTGTTTTCATATGAAACGACCCTATTAGTAAAATTATAATGTATTATAGAAAACAAACTAATCGGACATGTTGATAAGGACTTGGAGATATGGTTTGATTCCAAATGTGTCTTATTACCCATTGTGAGCATATAATATAGTTTCTGATGTCAACAACTTTTCAGGATTTATATTACACATTATTCCAATTTCCAAACTAGCAGAAGAACTTTTGTAGTCATATTTTTCTTTTGTTAGCTCCAAATTGGAGGTTGCATCTGGTGTACGGTCACCTGGTCCATTGTAAGATACAAAGAGAGACCAGCAAGATAAATATTGAAATATTTTTACCAACCTTTAGAGTATACGAATTATACAACTGTAGCAACTCTTGATTTATTCAGTTGCAGTACCAGAAATAGAAAAGTTATAAAGATTAATCCAAAAAACCGAATCACAACTTAAAAAACCAAATCTGCTTTACTTAAAAAACTCAAGTTGTCTTTGCACTTTTACAAGCAAAATTTGATGATTCTAGTGGGTATAATTTTAAGCAGCATTTTTGCTACATCATCCAGTCACAGGTACAGAGATACATAAGATAACAATTCCTTCAGAGCACATGGTAGATTGTAATACTACGAAAGCAGTAGAAAAAAAATTCTCAGAAGGCCGTTATTCCCTTTCGTCTTTTTATAATAACAATAAAAATTTTTGGCGTCAATTAACACGAAGATCTTCTAATGGAATCGATTTTCTAAGAATCTTGGTTCGGTTACCTGTTTTGGCACCCCTTCTGGGACCCATAATGACTATAATCATCTAACCTTTTTTGATTCCTTGAACACTGTTATCAAACCTCCATCAGTAAACAAGAATTTCTTTTTTTACGAATTTGATCTTTACATGTCAGATTGCAGGAATTCTCAGAAAATCAAATTTATTTTGTATTTATAACACATGGTAATTTAAGATGACATATGCATATTTTAAAGTTAATATATAGCACAACTTTGTTTCCTTAGCTGTCTGAAGTTCAAATATATACTTACCATTAAAGACTGTGTAGAAATCTGCATTAATTGCTGGTAGTTACAAAGCGCAGTAGCAGGAGTCAGAAAAACTAAATCAGCAGTGGTCTGAATTATATGTTATTAGCGTTCTAAATAGCTGCAACGTCTAGAGATATTCACAGAATTTAAATAGCAGAAAACTGTTTTTTAGTCACTGTGTTTCAATAGAAATGTCAAAGACTATACTAGAATTTCATTGCCCTGTGAAGATAATGACAACACTGTAAAATACGACGGAAGATCTGGTGCAATTATGGCTTCATTGCTACTCAATTTGGGGTCTTTTTACGGCTTTGTCGAAGTGGGCTGCAATAAATCTGTCTGTCTAGCTGGACGTAACAAAAATTGTTTCAATACAACACGTGCCCAACCAATGGTCTGCCAGTGTTTGTATTAAATGAATTTCATAAGGGATCCTCTGTAAAATGCTTATGAAGTCATAGTTATAAAAGGACAACATTTTTGCGCAACTATAACTTCTTAAAAAAATGACACTGTACTAGTAGTAGGTAGAATCCCTGCCAGGAACGTACTTTGAAAATTTCAGCGGAGCATTCCTAAATATTTAAAACTTGCATTGCACTGCAAAAAATACACCTGTGTGTTATAAAAGAAACACACAGTAATAAACATAATTATGTTTCGCTATTTTGTAAAGAATTTTTTTTTGCGATATAGATTCAATGTTTATAACCTAAAATCATCCAGTTCCAGTATATCCCTCCCTTGTCTGAGTGAAATGGTAAACTTGACGTAAATTTCACTCAAACAGATCTACATCCAATATTATTTCAAAAAGCGAAGGTAGACACAAGATTTTAATTAAAATACTATTTTAAATCTCCAATCCTTATTGGCTCTGAGAGTCAAATGCATAAAATAAGACCTTTTACTAAGCTAATAACTTAGTCACATATGCTTGTTACTTAAAATTTCCAAATTGGTAAGAATAGAAATACATCGATCATTTCTACTATGGAAGAGTGATACTACACCCCTTTAAAGAGAGTGTGGAGTGAAAATGTAGCAACTCACCGCGAGAAAGGAGTATTAAAAAATTCTTCATAACCATTAAACCTTCAAGTAGGTAAATCTAGAACTAGAAACGTTGCAAATACTGAAATTCGATGACAACGAATGCAGTCACAAACGATAGCCTCCGGAGGTTTATTACACAATACATATTTTAACAAATGTCATGTAATTTCCATTTTACAAAATGAATAAAATTCCATAAAGTCTTAATTTATTCCACTTTTACTTCCCAAGCGTAATCTAGGGAAATATTATAATAGGGTCAACTGACGAATAGTCAATTTCATCTTTCTTCGATATTTCATAACTTCTGGAAATGAAAAAGTGGATCTACCGTTTTTTTCTGTCCTCTGTGTTCTCAAAAAGTGCTGTTTTTCATATTTAATAAGTATGTAAGTATAAAAAATCGATCCATACTTAACTTCCGAAATCTTCTTCTTTCTAAAATCAACTTTTAAAAGAAGTTCTGTGTTTTTACATCTCGTGTGTAAGCTAGGCAAGATAATAGGTATTACAATAGAGACCATTTGGCAAATGATTACATAATTTCATCTTTGCCGGTTCATAACTCCTAAAATACGAAAAAATATGCCTCCGGTTTCCGCGTGTGTGTTGGTGATTTTATTAAATAGATAATTCCCGCGACTATTGTGAAATTTTAGATGTACCTACATATATTAAGTATACCTCTAAAACGCTGACCATTCATTCATCATAATTCATAACGTCATAAATATTTAGTACATAACAAAATAACGATCTGAGTATACCATGTTATATCCACATCGATTTCCAATCCAGTTACGAAGAATTCTACAGTAGATTTTTTTTATTAAAACAAAAAAAAAA